TGAAGTTTGAAAAGTTCCTTAGTTTTGGTTGTGGGTCCCCACATTCGCAATGACGGTAAGAACGAAAGATCAGTTATGGATTTTTTATAGTTTTAATTGCTTTAGACACCTTGTTATCTTTATCTTGTTCGTCGCCATTCATGTTACAATAGCTCGTTTTACATGCCTTAGCAAGGCATAAAATTATTGATTTGTACGCTTAATTAAATTGACAGGAAGGTAACTACTCTGAATCAGGTGCCAGGATGTATAATGCTTTAATTTATGGATCATTTCAGTCATTAGCCTACTCTGACACAAAAACTATTTATTTTCGGAGTATATCCATGCCAAAAGATAGAGGTTTCAAATATTTTACGCTGTTGAATTAGTGAACGGAATTTTGGATTTTTAGGGCGAAACTGAGAAGAGATAAAGATCGCGACATCAGTGAAAAGATCGCTCTGGGTTTGCCTGACACGAAGGCTCGTTCCGGGGACATACAGTTCGACCAGCGACTGTTTAACCAGTCCAAGGTACTTAATATATTAGTCTGTATTTGCCTAACGGTGTTCATGAACTTTTTCGTTTAGGGCCTTGACTCCGGCGGAGCATTTGATGACGAAACATATGCTGTTTATGACAAACCTTGGCGGACTGAAGGACTTGGCCAGTCGATATACCGTCCTAGTAAAAACTTGGATAATGAAATATATGGCAGCGACCTCGATAACATAATCAATACTAGCAGGTGTGTAATGTTTATTTCTATGTTTACGTTTCAGCCTGCCTAACACCTTGTCTGTTTTAGGTTCGTCCCTGACAAGGGCTTTGCAGGGGTAGACACCGAATCTAAACGAGATGGTCCAGTTCAGTTTGCCAAATCAGAAGAGGACGATCCTTTCGGTCTGGGACAGCTGTTGAAAAGCGTGAAGGAAAAGAAGCGGCGTACTGCTGATGACTCTAAAGAGCCTGAGGGAAAGAAAAAGAAATAAAATTCAGCCGGTTGCCAAATTTTTGATTCTACTGTAATTTTTGTAACTAGTATTACTCTGCTATTTTTACAAAGCTTCAGAAGGAGCGAAACGAAATGTAATTAAACGATTCTGAAATGTTGTATCGAATTCTGCATATACAAATAATCCTTAATATAAGCATGACCGCATATTTTTTTCATGGCCTGTTTGAATAACAATTATACATCTTTTCTTGATGTATTTCGTAACACCATATTTAGACGCTGCACATTAGCGTCACTGTCAAAGTAAAATATGGAGCTGAAACTGTAGTACCATACTGAACAATAGAGTTACTCAGGAACTTCAGTGATGGACTCTATTGTTTCGTTGATCCATGTGAATATAAGTGAACCGATAACATTCCAGCCTTCACTCAGATTAGACAAGCAGGGCATTGAAAACATATCTGACTTTGCTATGCAACGATCATTTGATCATTTCTTGTAAATGAAATTTCGTTAAACAATCAGTAACACAGGTACAAAGCATGCGAAACGTATTTAGCATTTCCCTCTTTTGTTCCGTTGCTGAAGGTTTTGGATAAATTTTTAATTGTTTTGCCACTTACCATTGCCCAGTTTGTAGGAGATGTAAAAACCGTCCTCCACGCGTCCGGAATGACTGGAGAATGAATAAGTGCAGTAGAGATAAAATCTTTGTTTAGCAGTATCTTAGCATTACCAAATTAATTTCATAGCTTTAACCAATCGCACTTAAAGCTGTAGATGTATTCCTGCCATTTAAGCGAAATTCGTAAAATAAGATTAAAAGGCTTTCCGGCTATGGAGTAACATGGTGCTGCCATGGTGAGAGGCGACCATACTTTAATCTCGATTCGAAAATGTAATCAATGTCAATAATGTAAAGCGGGACTGATAATTATGCTGATTAGCGTAATAATGGACTATAAATTCTGGAGAACAAGGAAGATTAAAACCACCTCTAAAGAATTTGGAGTCTTTGTGAGGCTGAGTTCATGATTGTAAGAAAAAAATTCACTAATATGTATGAACAGCAAGCTCACCGTAAAACTGAAAAAATCGGAACTTCAGAAACCCCAAGACATTACATCTTTAGGCCAAACGCTTGGTTCTATCTTTAGTTTTGGATTTAATGCTTGTGCAGAACATATATGAGTTAATATGCTGTAAATCAATCTTACATCAGCAACTGTCATTATTTCCTCATGCGTCCGACTGACGATCAGGTTCATTGCCGGGAACTAGACTAAGGTGCAGGGAAAAGCTTCAACCAAAATGTCAGAAAATTTGCATTAAAGCATTAAATTCTATTTAATCACAGAGACAAAGCAAAATATATATACATCTATACAGCAAAATTTTCGTTATTCCTTCTCGCTTTCAATTTTGATCTGTTCCCTGGCAAAAATGAACGTAGAAACAAGGGCCCCGAGTTGGAGTTTCTCACTGGCACCGGAACACAAACGGTACTCAATATCTGACATACTAGTGAGTAGGGATATACGGATTTCCGGAGGTAGTTCAACTGAAATAGAAGCATCAATACAGTTGGATATGAAATATCTATTACATCAATTTATACGAATTTAATATGCAACAATTTCAGCTGTAAAACACGCTTGCTCTGTAAATACGAGAACAGGTGGTAATTAAGAAAAATAGTCTCCCCAAGAAAACGACATAAAATAAGTAAATTATTTTATCACAAGCATCATTTTAGATAAAATACTGTTTCATCATTACCGACCTTGGTGGATCAAATACCACTCTGAGATTTGCCATTTTTATAGATCCTGATGCAGCGAAATTTTTGAGTACATCCCGCATCGATCTGCAGATCTTCGTATGAGCCGTTTATTAAGCT